GGCTGTGCTGCCCGAGCATGCGAGCTGCTGTGCCGCGATGCGGTGTGCGGGCAGCGCTGCCCCGCCGTGTGCCAGACCCTGAGCACCGCAGAGTCAGGGGCTCCGTCGTGCTCCGCGCTTGGCGAGTGCACGGACACGGTCTCAGCCTTGCCGGTGCTTTGCTGCGAGCGTAGGCATCGTTTGGCCGGAGCTCGCTGCGCTCTGGTGAAACAGGGGCTGAAGGCGAAGCCCGTGCCCGAGCCGAGGCACGGCGGTGGCAGGGCTGGGGCTGCAGCCCAGCACAGCCCAGCCTGGGCACCAGCCCTGGGACGCTCTGGCACCGGTTACAGTGAGCCAGTGGTGCCCACGGGCTGGGCTGGCCATCTGCAGCATGAATGCACCTGGAACCCTGGCCTTCAGGGAAGGAAGGGATCATCCTATATACAGACCCCCCTGTGTCAACACTACGTGCGCTTGTTAATTATTTAGTAAGCGTATAGGGCTGTACGCCATTGCTCATGCACTGTTTGTTGTGTTTTGTGCTGCTTGTCGTTAACCCTTGGTCTCTTTTTCATAGCTTAAGAAATACAGGGAGTATATGCCCTAAGAAACCCTTTTATTTCTCACTCCTCTCACGTCCAGTCTTCTGGGTCCAGTGATGCAGGGGCTGCCTAACGGAGTGGCTGCAGCATAAGCAGTATTATACAATATACAATATACAATATACAATATACAATTTCGTAATAAATTTGTCTGCCTCAGCGTGTGCCTCTAGCATAATGGAGATGAGCTGTGGTTTGCTGCATGGCATCCTCCAGTGAGCCCCTGGAGAGGGTGGCCCTGACTCTGCTGCTTACCTCTAGCAGATTTGTCTATTTGCAGGGTGGTGACATTTTGTGCTCACCAGTATCCTCGTATTTCATCTCGTGCCCTTCATGTGCTGGCTTTGTAACTCTTTAATTTTTGAGATCAAGAATTCATGAATCAAAAGATGGGGGAGTGGGGAGGCTGAGTCAGATTGTGAAAAAGGAAAGCCAAGTGAGAGTGTGCAATTGCATATCACATTTACAAACATGGTTTCATTCATTCATCTCCAAATGTTGCTCCTGTTACTACTAATAAAGCTCTGGTTTCTCAGACCGGAGCTGCCCTGGGAACACTGATTTTCATGGGATTTTTACTTTATAGCCTCAATAGTATTTGTGTTACAGTATATTATTTTCCCAATTATGTTTTCATTACATTGAACATGTTAATATCAGAAAGAATTTGATAATATGAATGTGCTTCCCACACACTCCCTGTCGTTCCTATTATTCGATGTGCAAAGGAGTGACAGATTATATACCAGCAGCAATTTGTTTCCCTCCATACCAGTAAGATTTCCTAATTATGAAAACAAAAAAGCTTTTTCCCTGAGCATGCACCCCTGTTTGCTTCCTCTTTCTTTCTTCGTCTTGCTAATGATAGGCAACTCCATCATGGTGATTTTGGAGCTGCTGGAAATCTAGCTTTGTCTACTGAAACATTTCTACGGAAACCTTTATAGGCAAAGGGAGCCAGAGAGCAAGTCTGCTTTAAGCATAATGGTGTCTGGAGTTTTCTTCTCTGGCTGGGAGGTGTAACTGTGGAGTGTACAGTAATTAATTTAATCCAATGTTGAGAGAGAAAGAGGAAGAATGATTGTATCACGAAAAAATAAGAGTCTTTTTAAAGTATCAGATGTAAAATTGAAGCAGCCATTTCAATGACCTTTGTGATTTCTATTTCAGACAAAAGGCAGCAACCTAGTACAAGGGTATCGTTTGTCTTCTCCCAACCTCATCCTTTGTTCTCCTTGGGTTTAGCCTGTCACTTCCTAGGGTTTGGCTCTGTCCCTTGTTGGGACAGCAGCACTTCTCACCCGTGACTCTCAGAAGTGCTGTACCAGCAGGTGATTTTTTTTTTCTAGTACTCATTTCACATCTTCTCTGCTATGCAGTCTTTTTTTCTTCTTATGACCCTCTGAGTCTCTCTGTGTCTTATTTATGCTTCGGTATTTCTGCCTTGCCAAACATTGTGCTAGTTACTTTACCTTCCCCCTCTCTCTGCTTTTTGTCCACTCATGGCTTTTCTCTCATTTTTTTTTCCCTTTCATATATCTTCTTCTTACATCGTTTTTTCCCCCCTCTCTTTCTTTCTTTTTATATCCTCTCCTGCTATCTCCTTTCTGACATCCCACTTCCATCCACTGTCTTACTCTACCTTCCTCTTGACATTTTCTCTCCACCCTGTTCCTTTTGTTATTGTCCTTTTCATCCCTTGCATTTACATATATATGTAAAATAATAATGTAATAAATATGTATACTAATATATTACATATATATGTGTATACATATACCTGTACTCTGCTCCATGTCTTCCATTCTCCAGCTGAAACAAAGAAATTACTTATGCTGGAAGTCTGACTGTATTGCATCCCTTTCTCAGCACCTGAAATACACTGCTCCTACCCATCCTCCAACACATATATTGGGTAGACTGAAGAATTAAGTGTGTGGGAAACGTTCCTAAATTCAGAAGTGTACTTAGGAAAGCATCTTGCTCAGGCTGCACTGTGAACAGAACAGTTGTTGTGCTCCCACTGGCAATACCAGAGGAGGACTGTAAGTCCCTTGAATTCAAGGACCTAATGACATTTCTCAATTTCAGGGTTTTTTTAATGAAAATATTATAATGTTAGATAAGGGACACTACCATCTCTTTGAACTATGCCTTGGATCTTGGACTGACCCAAAATAAGACCTCACAAAATGCTTTTCTTTTTTTTTTCCCCAATTGTTTTGTTTTATACATTCATTAAGCCACTTTTCTGCAGTTATTGGGAGAGAAATGCTTTATCCTTATCAGTTCTAAGCTCTGCCTCTGAAAAGGGCTCTGTATGGGGTGAGACTGGAATCTTGGCTTTTCAGCTTCCCCTTTCTTTGGAGCCAAAGGGAGAGGAGAGAGCTATGACTGCAGGATCATATTCATTGGGTGGGAGATGGAAGAATAGATACATAAACCAAAAATACTACATTAACCTCAGAGGGTGGGGGGTGGAGTTGTTTAATAATTATTCCCCTTGACTATCACTGACTACAAGCACCATCATTGAGGATCCAGGGCAAATGTTAAATTTTGTTATTTAAATAAGAATCTTCATTTTTAAAAAGTCATTTAATAATTAAACTAATTTTTTTTGTCATTCAGAGAGCATACTACTGACTGGCTGGAATGAAAACAGCTCTATCCCACGGACTCCACCTCTGCTTTCTGGCAGCTTACCTGACTCATAAAGAGAGTGGGGGGTTTTATATGCCACCTACATCAACGCAACATTTTCCTTTGTGGTGAGAGTTAATCACCACCCCTGTCATATTATTTCACCCTATTGAAGTGGGGATTCTTTACCTTTCAAACCAGCCTTAAAACTTAGGGTGAGGTTTTTTTCTGAATTTGCACCATTGCAGATGGGGTGTGTTGAAGAGGAAACTGTGGAGTTTTAGCCATGGTGGTCGGAGATTTAAGGGGGCAAAGTTTTGCTTATATTTGTCAGAAAAACTAGGCATGCTTTGGGCACATAAAATCTCTCTTTATAACCTGTTTGTATAACCTGTGTCTCTTGTGGGCAGAGAGATCATATGTAGTAGACCGATATTTGTCAAGCAGAAAAAATTACATGAAAGAAAACTGGAAGGTAGGAATGAGAACAAAACACAGAAATGGCAATACAATGGATGCAGTGTGTGTAGAAGGCAGTGGAGGAAGGGAGAGGAGGAACAGAAAGTGCACCTCCTGGAAGGCTATTGGGAGTTACAAGAGAACATGAGTTACCCTTCCTCCTGGAAAGTGTGAGGAAGCTTAGACAGAAAAGCATGTGACTTTTTGCAGAAGGAATTCTTGAAACGAGGGAGAGGAAGGAACTGCTGTGGAGCTCAGCACTTACCTACTGTGAAGGAGAACCAGGGAAATCATTTGGTAAGAGTCTCCTCATTTCTCTGTCACAAAGGCAGGTAGAATCAAGGAACAGGAAGGAAAGGGGAAGACCAAAAGGACAGAAGTTAACCATTGGCAGATGTCAGTGAAGGAAGGGTAGAGAAAGGAAGCTGCTGCCGTGTTGGCAGAAAGTTTCCAGGTCCTCTGTGGGACCTGGAAATTGACAGAGAAATAAGGGGTGTGCTACACGACAGGAGACAGGGAGCATCCTGTCAGGAATGAGCTATCTGACCATACATCATATAAATATAGGTTATTTCCATTCTTGATGTGTTTCAGTCTTAAAATGCACCACAGATACAGCGCCTCTGCCTTGAAGATATGGAAGCTGTAGCTGTCTCAACCTTCCTGTAACCGCCTCCTCCTTCTCACATGCCAGATTTAACCCCATATTATCTCCTCTCCTGCACTGTGGGTCCTCAGCCTGGCTCCAATCATCCTTCTTATTGATTGCACCTGCTTCATGACTGGGGCACAACTCAAGATGAGGACTTAGCAGTCATCTGCAAAGATGTGCTTCTCAAAGCAGAGGCACTAATGAGCTCTGTGAAGGAAGCATGCTGGGAGAGGCACCAGCAGGGAGAAAGAAGAGCAAAAAGAGAGCCTATCATCTGAGAAAGAAACAGATTTAGGAGACTATAGGAGACTCTAGGATTATTGCAGTGGGGAGACTAAAGGCATGGAAGCCTCAGGAGGAAAGTGAATGTGGGAGGATGGAGCCATGGATGGTTAAAAATAACAGTATGGTACTCCACTGATATTTTAAACCTGCTGCCTTTGAAAACCCTTCTGAGTTTTGAAAAGCAAACCTTACATTTAATTGTTCTAATTGGTACTGACCATCCAGGACCACTGGCATTTTGGGCCAGTCATTTTGTCCAGCAACCCCCATTTTCTTCACTCCAGGTCTAATGGTTGCAACCAAGTCTTCAGCAGATTGCTCTTTGTACCCTGCCTGATGTAAATATCAATGTATCCCCAATTATGTTTTCATTTCTCTGAAAGGGAGATGGCATTTGTGAGTAGCACACTAATTCCATGTGATAATGATGCTATCACAAATTAGAGGTAAATTAAAGCACCATTCACAATCAATTTGTACAATGTGGAATTTGGACCTGGATTAATTCAGACCTGAAAGCCATTTTTTTTTTATGTTTCTGAACAACTGCCAGCTTTTCAAGCCTGTGGCTGTTCCAAGTAATGCATTAGTCTCTGTACAAATAACACATGTGAGATGGGACCAAGTGGTAGCAAACCTGCTGGGGCTTTGAACCTCCTGGCACTTGTAATGGGTGTGAGAAAATGAAGGGAGGAACAATAAATAAAAGAATAAAGAAAAGAGAAGTAGAAAGTGAAGGACATCTGTGCATTTTGATAACAATTCTTCAGTAACACAGCAACATAGAATGGAAATACATTGTCTGGTTAATGCAAAGCAGTTATTTGCTATGCCAGAGCCATCTCCTAGAAATCTTTTTTTTTATTTTTAAATTAAGTTTTGTCTTTTAACCATGAAAGGTATCGGTTTCTTCATCTTTCCCCCCTCCTCCCTTGCCTTTATCTTCCCACTTCCGAGTAAGGATATAAATAATGTTCCCTCTCATTTCCAGTGTAAATTTATTCATGAACATTTTAAAATGGCTTATTGTCAGTTCTTGTTCCAGAGTTTACTTTTACCTTCAAGAACTCTTGTGTCCTTAGTGCTCACTCCTGTCTATTTCTGGAGAAAAGTCAGCTTGCCTTTCCAGGGAAGCTTTGCCGTGCTGTCCCAGCCACACTTCACTCCTCTCCTTGCATCTGGCAGGCTCTCCATTTTCCTGCTTCCTACAGAAGATGACCTCTAACACTCAGAGCACTCTCTGCCTGTGGTAATGTGATCTCGTGACAGCAGCAGAAAAAGGTGTCAGCAGTCCTGTATCATGTTCCCAATCCAGTCTTTGGATGATGATAGGTCTGGGGAAGGACATTTATCTTTGTTTCTCTGCAGGCTCCAGTAATAGTCACACATCTCTGTTTTACACTAAAATTGCTTTTACAATGCCAAATTAATTATTAATACATATATTACAATATTTTCAGTATTCTGTAGCAATGAAATCAGACACTGTGCCACTTGCTGCCCTTTGGCTTGTGGCATGGCATGCAGTCCTTTTGAATGTACCTGTGTGGTACCCCCACCTCCTGTGTTTACACTCTGTGTTCCTAGGCACCCAGGCTTTATAGCCATGATAAAGCAGCTTTCACATATTCCTGACTTTTTGGTAATTGCGTGACTTCTGCTATTTTTTCTTACATGATTTTCTGGACTTGCTGAAATGTGAGTAATGTAACTGGAAAGTGATGATTGAAGTGAGAGACTCTTTTTGAGGGAATGTTGGTCATGATTGATTAGCACTGCACACATCACGTCCTCAAGTGGCACTTTCTCCCCATGTAGGGGGAGATCTGGTGATATTGCCCCTGTCTGTTGAGCAGACATGCATTAGACCCACGTATATCCCATGAAGGTTGTTAAAAAGCTTTGCTGGGTTTATTTCACCCATGCCATTGAGAATACATGGTAACACCTACATTGTGATGTACCTACCACATCACTCAAAAGCCTTAATGCCCTTAGTCCGATCTTCAGTCCAATTTGGGCACATAGCTTTCCACTTCATCATGGGTTTATATCAGAACATATTATTCCCAGTCAATATAGTTTGGCCAGAGTACAGATTTTGGGGTACTATCTGAGCTTTTGTTTCTTTTTGCTACATAAATGATCTGTGGCATTGGAAAAGGTCACAGAAACCTATTAAAACCTGGATATGAGGTGTGTGGGAGGAAGAGGTGCCACACATATCTGCATTGGTTTCAACACAACTCCTACTTTAACTTGGAAGCAGCTATCATCTGGGGCAGCTTCTTC